TTACTATTTTGGTATAATTTCGACCTTTTGGTTGCTATGCTTTTAATAATATTCTTCTTCTTCTCCTCCTCCTCCTTTTTTGTCATTATATAGCGTACATATATCAGGCCCGTAGCCAGGGGGGTTCGGGGAGTTCGAAAGGTCCACTCTGGGTAAAATATGATCTAGGTACATAAAGTTTTTATGGGAAAAGGTCCACTTTTTCAGAATAAGAACCCCCCTTTTGAAATTGGTGGCTACGGGACTGTATATAGGCCTACTGCCAATCAGTGACTTTCGAAATAAAGCACCGTAGACACGGTTCAAATAATGTATATTCTCGATGACGATTATCCGGGAAAATACGCCTTATTAGAATATTGCTTAAAAAAGACTGACGTGGAAAGTTGGTTTTACCAAGGAGTTATAACAGACACACTCTTGTCACAGGGTTTAATATTTTGCTGGAATTTTTTTTATAAAGAAAACAGGTGGGAAAACCAAGAAATTTTGTCTCAAAAAGAATATACACACTTGGGGGTGGAGCCCGTTTGCGGGTTTCTCAATGGTCGGAATGAATAGAGCCCAAAGAACAATGAGAGACTGTGTGTTAGTCTCGTATAAATCTTGTTTCCCAGAAAACGTGCCCTCCCTGGCGCTTCGTGATGAGGCTGCAAATTAAAATGAAGTCAGATATTTATAAAAACGCGAGAAAACATAAAAACTTTAACCTCCCTGGGAAAACTTACCCCCAGCGTTGCACAGTGATACCAGAAACGCAAATCCTAAAACAGTAGCGGAGCCCATGTTGCTCTTGAATTCTATATTCTGCAGGAACGATTTGGATATGGACAAGACCTCATCCTTTTATACCTTTAAACTAATAATGATTATCTCCTCATTAATTTCCGTTTCACTCAGGGCCACTCATTTGTTAATATGAACGCAATTTGAATTCAGTTCTCCACAATAACAAATTAAAGGGACCGTTTCTAAACATGTTCTTTTGAACAGTCTCAATTCGTCTCCCATCGTTTTGGTAATAAAGTTATCGTGTCTCGGCGTGAAGATATGCTGTAAATCCTGTGCCTAAATATGAGCATGGAACAAAAAAATATTGACAAAAACAAGTTACAAGGGTCTCGTTATATTGCGATTTCATTATATCATCCATCTATTAAAATATCGGTTTAACATTCAGTATGAAACATTGACGAGACTGTAACTGAAAAGGAAATAGGCTGAATATTCTGCATGAAACGTCAAATCGAGACATATCTAATAATTTGCGAATTTCCGATCGGGATTACCCATCAGTTTGTGAAAAATATTATAGTTATTAACTGGTTATTTCGATTTCGTCAAAATAATTTCATAACAAATTGAGTGTAGAATTAATTTCATAAACCACAGTTTAGTCTCAAGGCCAATAGCGGATGGGGGGAAGGGGGGTAGACGAACAGTCCAATTACACTGAAATAAACTTAATTGCAAATTTTCGTGTTTGGTGCATTCCACACGGATGGATTTTATAACCTGCAGTTGCATTCATATGAAATATAACGATTGAATTATAAGTTTCTCAGACGGGTAAAGCGCGGGTGGAATCAAATGTCCAAACTGGCTGTCTTTGTGTGGATGTAAACGGCAATAAGTCTTCTTGAAATATGCAGAATTTAATATTTAAACGGGAATTTTCTACTAGGAGTAAGAAGTTCCCAAAATGGGCCCTTTGACTTTCAGTGCCATCTACCTACTTTCGATCTTTTCATTCGACTGTCTTGTCTATTAATGCCTCTCTTAACACAACCATAGCTGATTATGGCGTAAGATCATCTTAGATGTGGTCTGTCAATCGAGTATGCGACAAAATATTAATTTATAATTAATTTATTTAATGCTTAATTCGAATCGTTCCATGACTTAAAAGTTCTTTTTTTTTCTTCTTTTATTTCGTGTGAGGATCAAGAAAAACGAAGCACCTCTAGGAAATCCTGGATCCGCCCCTATATATAAGGTACCCCTTCTTTAACATCAAGAGGTGCTGGATTCTTACATCCACAGCGTGATAGATTTCTTTAAGATTCTATTTCTAGGGGCTCTAATCCGACTTAGGAAAGCCTAGGTATCTGCTCGAGTTACTCCCGGAGAAAAAGGTAACGCAACACCACAGCTTTATTTCCAAAACCAAAAATCAGTTTTATTACCTGGACATTGCCTGGTTTTATGGAAAAAATCTACGTGGCAGAAATCGACAAATCTTAAGTTTTAGTGAGATAAGGAGCAAATGAAAAGAATTTCGACTAATCAATAATTAAACAAGCCGCGCGCATATGCATGCAACTCTATTAAAATTAATTTGTAAGTCTGGTGATTATTTTGCCATCTGTACACTACTTTTAATAAAAAGAAAAAATTAGAAAATATAATTTTATTCAACTTCTAAATACAATAACATTCAATTTCAAAATTACTTTAGTAATCATTAATGAATCATGTAAACGCAATGAATCAATAAATGGTAGAACCCAATTCTCTCGGGCCGTGGGGAAAAACCCGTCTAAACCCTTCGTGGGGAATGCCGGGAAAGTGCCCACGCCCGGATACTTCAGTCTTTTTAATATCATCAGTTCAGTTTTTCATTGGCATTACAGTTCAAGAATATCTTCCCGTTTTAGACAACATGGCGCAACTGTATTTTCTCTCGTGACTACAAACTTTTCTCTACATACACTATATTGGTACACAAGATGAAGCACAAGAATTTAACAAAGTACGTTATTCCTACTGAAAGAGGTACTAAAGACAATTAAGACACATTTACTAGAGTCTTAACACAATTAAACTGAGACTTATATTAATAAGTCATAAATAAATAAAATCGATCCCTTTACAACTGAAAGCATCCATCAAAACTAGAATATAGTTCTTCTATATGGTAAAATATATAAAAAGTTCAGGTAATATGTTTATTACCCAGACACCTCAATGATTTAAACTAAACTTTGACATATAACTGTTTAAAACAGAAGTTTCTCAAATGTAATTTTGCCCTGAAATCGCAACTACCTGTATGATACAAGTAATGAATAAAGCAAGCTTGCTTCGACATATTTCACTGTATGACCGTCCATGTAAATTTCAATATGACTTTTGGGGTCCGGAGAAAAGGGTGCATATGTGATGAACTGGATATATTTGTCAACTATAACCCTTGAGAAAATCATAATACTAGTGATATAAGTAATGTGCGATCCTCTATCTTGAGCGATGCCTGAATGCATCCAGCCATCCCTCACGAGGAGCAGACTGCATAAGACATATAATGAAATATTTTCACAAACGTAAAATATTTCATTATAGATCTTGCACCAGCCATCAATGTAAAATCTCTTCATGTAAAAACATTTACATGAAGTAAGATTTTACAAAGATGTGAGGGTTAGTTGAGGTTAGTGTGCGGATTATGATTTTCTCAAACGCTATACTGACGAACAACTCCACATCATCAACAGCACAAATTTGAAAATTGACTACATCACTAGGATTGAAATAAAACACAGACGACCATAAGTGGTGGTGTTTTGTGAGCGAAAACCTATCTGCATTTGGAATGTGGATAAAGCAACTACATATTCTATTTGGACGTTAAATAATAACTGTAGAGGTTGACAAATTTTTCACACAGAACCACATTTCATCTTATTCAATTGAACATTTATGGAATTAAGAATGAGCATCCTGAACTTCGGTGCTCTCTCAAGTTATTGGAATAAAATGTTCCACTGTAATAACTGAAAAAAACTTATTTAATCCAATTACACCCGACTCGTATCTGTGACCCGTGAAGCGCATAAATTCTCAATATCCAAAAGACTTGAGTACATTATTAGGTTGTACCAGTATTCCTCTTACATTCAGTATATCGCTCTTCATCATCATTCCACATTCTCTAATTTTTTTGCAGACAAGCTGTGTCCTTAACACGAAGACTGCTAGAATGTCCGGTCATCAATGAAAGTGGCTACAGGGGCTCGTTGCTAGCGACATATAGTGTTGCACATTTGCACATTTAGGCGAGGATTGATGGTTTCTGCGTTCTAGCATTATTTTTGGGAAACTGCCCTGTCGTAGCCTACAAATGAAACGTAAAGTATGAAAATCAATTGAAAGCTTGCAGTAATTGCAACAAAGAATATGTATTTCACTGGTATTTACACACCGTTAATACTAATACTAGTATTTTGATGTTTCATTATGTTATGGTTCTTAACATGACTACTTTGTATTTTATTTAATTTTGTTTTATTTTACTTACTTTTATTTTATTTTAATTTCACTTCTATAACACAACACAAGAAAATCACATTATGATTGAGAAGAGTGCCAAGATTCTACAATAAGTAAGTGACTGAAGAATAACAGGTATAAAGGAAGGCATATGAATCACAAAAACGTCTAACGATCTAAACAATATAAACAAGTGAAAATACATGCTCACCTGTACGATGGCCTTTTAGTACCACAACCGCAGCACTTAGGGTGAGGTTGGGGGGTAGTAGCTCCCAGTATTCTAGCTTAGTGACAACGCCATGTGTGTCGCATTGGGACTGTTGAAAATCTGAAATTTGGCCGATAGGAAGTCAAAATATTTTGCGCAAGTGATTTTTTTTGCAAGTTTGTTACAAATTAAAAGAGCTTTTGGATTCTAAAATGTCTGGACTAAGAATTTCCTTGAATGAATTGTAAAAAGAAAACAAATGTCTACATTTAGAGACTCGATAACGGTTTCCAAAAGGTCCAATTTAAAGTTTTACGAGAAGAACAAACTGCTATTGTTTGATACCAATAATATTTGGAATGCTGCATTTTAATCCTATCCGTCTAAAATTAAAGACTAACTTAAAATACTTTTTTCAAGGGACCCAGTGATCTGAATGAGTACCTGTGCCATGTTGACTGAGGAGCAAGATCTTCTGTGCTGTTCCAAGGCAAACCCAGCACTATCAGGTCGCTGTACTTCTTGCTGTCCAGCCGCTTTGTTTTCACGTTGGGAGTTTTCAGGGTCTCATCTCCTTTTCCTTTTCTTTTGTTCTCTAAAACGGTAACACATTCCAATTATTATTAAGAATGTTTATTGAATTACCAACCCTTTGTTGTATTAATATTTCTATTATTTTCTGTGTAATCAATGACTGCGACATACTAATTATTGTTTGGACAAATAGATTTTTCAGAATGTATGAATTTAGTGTTAAGACCATATGATTTTCAAAACAGCTTTTGACTTGATTTAGTTTTTAACAGTTATATCTTAATCTTAAAAATGTCAAGGTCTTTAAATTTCATATTTTAAATTTATATTCAAATGCAATCCAATCCAAATTTATTGAAATTTGTATTCGGACCAGTGAATCCTGATTTAGACCAAAAGATTTTAGGAAAGTTTAGGTCCAATGGCCAGTAAGGTGAGAAGCTTATGGTAAAGACCGCAACTGAAAAAATCATTTAAGTCTATTTCTCACCCCAATAACACGGGTTACCTTTAAGGGTTTTAGAACTCGGTGAAACACCATATAGCTTGAACGCTTCCCCAATGGAGCCACCTCGTAGACAGACAATAGCAGGACTCAGTGGACGCTTCCCCGATGCAGCCACCTCGTAGACAGACCATGGCAGGACTCGCTGGACGCTTCCCCAATGCAGCCACCTCGTAGACAGACCATGGCAGGACTCGCTGGACGCTTCCCCAATGCAGCCAACTCGTAGACAGACAATGGCAGGACTCGCTGGATTCTTCCCCATTGCAGCCACCTCGTAGACAACTAGCAGGACTCGCTGGACGCTTCCCCAATGCAGCCACCTCGTAGACATACCATGGCAGGACTCGCTGAATGCTTACCCATTGCAGCCACCACGTAGACACCTAGCAGGACTCGCTGGACGCTTCCCCAATGCAGCCATCTCGTAGACAGACCATGGCAGGACAGGCTGGACGCTTCCCCGTTGCAGACACCTCATAGACAGGACGTGGCAGGACTCACTGGCACCAAGGATTGATGGACGTCGTTGAAGTGTAGATGTGGCCCTCTTCTCTTTGCACTTGTCAGTGGGAGCTCTATTGAAACAGAAAGAAAAAAGAATGACTTTTTCTACCTATGTGAACACTCTGCAGTCAGGCTTACCTTTAAAGGTTTTCCATCTCAGGGAAACACCACATGCCGTCGACGCTTCCTAATTGCAACCATCTTGTAGACAGACCATGGCAGGACTCGCTGGACACTTCCCCAATGCAACCATCTCGTAGACAGACCACAGCAGGACTCACTGTATACTTCTCCAATGCAGCCACCTCGTAGACAGACCATGTCATGACTCACTGGACGCTTCCAAGATGCAGGGTTTTCTATAAGCAGAAAGAAAAACGGATTAATGACTTTTCCTAACTTTGTCAGCACTCTGCTGTCAGGCTTACCTTTACGAGCTCCCCATCTCAGTGAAACACCATTCGCCTGGGACGCTTCCCCATTACAGCCACCTCGTAGACAGACCATGGCAGGACTCGCTGGACGTTTTCCCTGATGCAGCCACCTCGTAGACAGACCATGGCAGGACTCGCTGGACGCTTCCCCGTTGCAGCCACCTCATAGACAGGACGCGGCAGGACTCGCTGGCACCAAGGATTGATGGACGTCGCTGAAGTGTAGATGTGGCCCTCTTCTCCTTGCACTTGTCAGTGGGAGCTCTATTGAAACAGAAAGAAAAAAGAATTAATGACTTTTTCTACCTATGTGAACACTCTGCAGTCAGGCTTACCTTTAAAGGTTTTCCATCTCAGGGAAACACCACATGCCGTCGACGCTTCCTAATTGCAACCATCTTGTAGACAGACCATGGCAGGACTCGCTGGACACTTCCCCAATGAAACCATCTCGTAGACAGACCACAGCAGGACTCACTGTATACTTCTCCAATGCAGCCACCTCGTAGACAGACCATGTCATGACTCACTGGACGCTTCCAAGATGCAGGGTTTTCTATAAGCAGAAAGAAAAACGGATTAATGACTTTTCCTAACTTTGTCAGCACTCTGCTGTCAGGCTTACCTTTACGAGCTCCCCATCTCAGTGAAACACCATTCGCCTGGGACGCTTCCCCATTACAGCCACCTCGTAGACAGACCATGGTAGGACTCGCTGGACGTTTATCCTGATGCAGCCACCTCGTAGACAGACCATGGCAGGACTCCCTGGACGCTTCCCTGATGCACCCACCTCAGACAGACCATGGCATGACTCACTAGACGCTTCCCCCATGATGAGTGGCAGGACTGGCTGGAGGATTGGTGGATTGATGGAAGCTGATGATAGCTGATGGAAGCTGATGATAGCTCTCTTCTCCTTGCAGTTGTCAGTGGGAGCTCTATCGAGAATCGCCGTAATCGAGTTCTGTTAACAGAAGGAAAAATGGATAAATGACTTGTCCTACATATGTCTGTTAACAGAAAGAAAAAATAGATTAATGATCTTTCCCACATATGTCAGCACTCTGCAGTCAGGCTAGCCCTTAAGGGTTTTCTGTTAACAGAAATAAAAACTGTTCAATGGCTTTTCCTACATATGTTAGCACTCTGCAGTCAGGTTTACCTTTAAGGGTTTTCATCTCGGTGAAACGCCATATGCCCGAGACGCTTCCCCATTGCAGCCATCTCGTAGAAAGACCATGGCAGGACTCGCTGGCACTGAGGATTGATCGAAGTGTAGATGTGGCCCTCCTCTCCTTGCAGTTTTCAGTGGGAGCTCTATCGAGAATCTCCATAATCGAGATCTGTTAACAGATAGAAAAACGGATTAATGACTTTTCCTACATATGGTGTCACTCTGCACTCAGTCTTACCTTTAAACGTTTTCTGTTAACAGAAAACGGATTAATGACCTTTCCTAACTATGTAAGCACTCTGCAGTCAGGCTTACCTTAACGAGTTTCCCATCTCAGTGAAACACCATATGCCTTGGACGTTTCCCCATTGCAGCCATCTTGTAGATAGACAATGGCAGGACTCGCTGGACGCTTTCCCAATGCTGCCACCTTGTATACAGACCATGAGAGGACTAACTGGACGTTTCCCTAATGCAGCCACCTCGTAGACAGACCAAGGCAGGACTCGCTGGCATCAATGATTGACCGACGTGTAGATGTGGCCCTCCTCTCCTTTCAGTTGTCAGTGTTGGCTCTATCGAGAATCGCCATAATGGACTTCTGGTAAAAGAAAGTTAAAAGGATTAATGACTTTGCCTACCTATGTCAGCACTCTGCTTCCTGGACCTGTAATAGAAGAAACCTGGAATGCATGGAAATAAATGCAATGACACTACAAAAATAAAGCCCACAACAGCAGAAAGCCGATGACGTATCCTGCGAAGATTCCGGAGCGACGATTCCTCGTGGAGAGAAGCGAAGGTTTTAGCTGGCCAGCTTAGAGAAACGTCGAATCCACCGTATAGACGACTCCGTGTGGAAGAAACAATATGTCGATGAGCGATGCGTCGTCTTGGGAAGAGGAAAAGATTCGAAGAAACGTGAGTTGACTCCTGTGTCCTTATTGCTTGATGCGGGGCGCAGTACATGGCATCCTTCTCGTTGCTCCTGGTCTGCCTGTGTTGAATGAACGCAATTTCAAAACCCCGCGCTTTTATACCTTCAGTGATATTTAGTCACATGGTGGCGTTCCACTTGTCACTAATGCCCAACTTGTTCATAGGGGGTGGTGTTTGATAGCGATGCGCAAAACTGATTATAATATCTTATCAACATGTACATTTTATTTACTATTTTTCATTTTGATTATTATTTTATCATTTTATTTTAAAATAAGAGTAATAAGTACTAAGCAATGACTTCAAAATGTACAGGCAAATTTGATGACAATTTCTAAGCAACATACCTTCTCCCCAAAATTATGATGGCCACTATGTCCGTTAAACCGGTACAGGTAGCCGTGAACTTGTCGCAGGCCACTATAGTACGTGCGTATACAAACACTGATCCAAATGTGGATAATGTAATAGTGCGTAGGGTGACTGCATTTTCGAGGCAGCCTGAGGGAGCATGATTGTTTTGATTGCAGTGAATGGTAGTGAGTCAATTGAAAGTACACTGGACTTATCATGTACAACCACCTCAGTGCTCTGAAACACATTTTTAATCAACTGGCTTGTTTTCTTGGGTATGAAAAACAAGTTATTGTGATTCTACTAAACAAAAGAAAGCAGCAGTGCGCCATATGAAAAATCCTGATTACTTCACACCTGGCAGTAGAAACGAATGAATTTTTTAGTATATAAAACGTCTACTGATTTACGTAATTATCAACAACGGACGCCTCTCTTCATAGCTTTGGGTTATCAGTGTTCTGATGCTAGTAGCATGAGTAGAGAAAAACAGACCAATAAAAATATATGTAAGACAATAAGATAAAAATTAAAGGGAAATAAAAAAATTCCCATTTGTACGTTTACTTCATCCGCTTTAACCTCAGTTGAAATCTACTCTTCGCGTTCTAACATTGTTATAAGTCTCAGTGGTCACTGGCATCCTTTCACATTTCCCTGTCGAGCATAAAACCTAGATGTTGAGCACTAGAGGTTACATGTTAATAGGCCACTTGCTCATTATCAATGTTTTCATGGCCAGGCACACAACAGTTCCATTTATGTGTTTTCTCAGTGAGGTGGTCTTTCCCTCGACCCAGCTTGAAAATCGAACTCAGGACTTGCCTCGTCTGCCACGAGAACACTCACTGATTTTTTTCATATATTTTAGTCCATTTAACTTTTTAACATATTTCATTAAGAATTATGAGAGAGAGGATTGTTTATCTAAGTGGAAGTTTACTTACATCAGTCTAGCAATTTTAATCCTTGCAAAAATAATTACTGGAATCATCTCTTCTAACACACACAAACACTCAAAAAAAAAAAAAAAAACGTTAACGGACTAAAATTTAAACCACAGTTACTGTTGCTCGCAGTATCATCTCACATTCTCCAATCGATCTAGCCTATTTTTACTCGAGTACAAAATCAGGAAGCGAGTATTTTGTCTGACGTCTCAGAAAATGTCTATATTTTAGTTTATTTTAAATAACGCAATAGGCCTAAACAGATTTCGCTGCGTCTCCTGGCTTTTAAAAATTGAAAAAGAAAATCAGTGACGTCTTTTGCCGCAGGTCGTTATTTTTAATTGTTTGATGTTTTTGTAATATTTTAGCCATTTATAGAATCTTCAGTTCAATTAGTCCTACATCGATGATTTGTGAGATGATAGGCATATAGTGACAGGATACGGCGAATTGTTTTAGCCAAAACACGGAAAAACTGCATTCTCTTAGAAAGTAATTTGCAAAACCTTCACCATCAGGCATTGTGAAAAAATATGCTAGAGGTTGAGGACAAATGTGCCAATGAAATAAATGTGCATCACGTAATACCCCATTAGCGCGGTCTAATTTTTTGTTAGTAGGCCCTATTAATAACGTGCGAATATTATCCAAAAGAGTTATTTTAAGAACCTTTACTGAATACGAAAACTTTCCATACTAGCAAGGCGTGAATCGGAATTGGTTTACACAGAAATCTAGCTTGCTTAAAAATCATTTTCTGTCACAATATGTTTTGAAAAAGCAGAATTCTGCAGTCTTTCTGTGCCATATGCACTGTGCATGTATAACCTTTGGTCGCTTTCGGCAACTCATTGAAATAACTGCGCGTACAGCAGCAATGTGCCATGCATTACCTCATCAGTTTGGTGGACTTTTACGAACAAGAGGGAAGGAAGAGCAGATCAATTTACCACCAAAATTTTGAAAGGGGCCAGTTTAAAGCTTATTTAGAGGAGGCATGGCTAAATAAACAACTAATAAACGCCTTTTCAAGTAGACTTTATTATTACCACATATTTCATAATAGATTTGAATACCTTGAAACATTACTTCACAAAACACCCACCCTCCCGTCCTCCACCAACGATTTCTGACCAGTATTTACAATTTCTTACTTTTTTAAATTCTAAAATAGTGCGCTTTAAACTATTCGCCAAGCTGAAACAGTTCCAAAGGTGGCAGCCCCGTTCAAGACGAGATCAATTCAAGTCTGAAAATGACAGTACTTCAACAAGCATACTGGCTGCAATTAATGCCTCATTTCAATTAAGTTTTCCTCGTTATTGATCTCAGTCTGATTTTAGTACTTAAACAACTGAATTCTTCTTTTATGTTTCCAGTCAATAATTTCTATTTCTAAGTTATTTTTCTCTCTTTTTTACAATGCACATACCCCCAACTTTTAGTTGCAAAACAAACATTGCTAGCATAAATTAAGGAATACTAATCCAAGATGTTGGTCAAATCACTAACTGATATCCCTGGCCTTAATGTCCATTTTGAATAGAATGTTTAAATGCAGTTCATACATCCAAAAATAAATAAATAATTCAACACTTGCATTGAGCATTGCCTCTTCAGAAGGCAGCTTGTTCTTATGGAGAGTAAACTTTTTTATGAACTGGGTTCAGTTTTGGACAAAATTTAATATCCAATTTATCATCAGTAAAACATTGAATTATGGAACAGATTTAAAGGTTTCCTCACCTTACAAAGTGACTACCATGCAATCATCTAGTAAAATAATAATGATGATGATAATAATTATTATAATGATAATAATAAATTGTACTAAAGTATATTACAACCTTTTCCTTCACATAAGAATATGGCATATTTATCTTACATCTGATATTAACTCACATAATAATAGTGCAATAACACTCATCAACAACAGCAAGCAAAAAAGCATCTCTACTTTTTTAATTTGGCAAATCAAATACCTGTAATCCAAGGAACAGAGAAAACAAACAGTACACCCTTCTACAAATAAACAGAAAAGTAAGACTTTTAAAAAAAGATTGCACTTAACAAACGTGTGGCTTTTCTCTTTCTGATTTAATTCTTTCAAATACAATTCATACCCCCTCTAAACAAATATATGCTATTTATCAATTTGATTTTAAGCAAAAGTTTGGAACCCAAGAGAAAGCAATTAAGTCTACAAGAGAAAGCAGAACTTAAAATGCAGTTAACAACCATACTTATTTAAATTTGATAATGAACCCCAACACCAGCACGTAATATATCATACCAGTTTGTACAGCGGTTGTTACATAGCACCTAAAAATTGATATAGGTATTTGCTTAAACATGTAGTACCTTTACTGTCAGAGGCCATTGAGAACTTATACCAGCCAAGGTATGTCATTTCACACCTAATTTACTGAAAACCCTTGTGAAGAAATATTGACCCCCTACCTACACTTAAAAAGTTGTTGAGCTATATAATTAATCAGTCAAAAGTAGTTCTTTTGCAAGACTGTAGAACAAGTTTCTCCACACTCTGGGTGACTGCCAGTCATTGCTTACCGCAAATNAAAAAAAAAAAAAAAAAAAAAAAAAAGATTGCACTTAACAAACGTGTGGCTTTTCTCTTTCTGATATAATTCTTTCAAATACAATTCATACCACCTCTAAACAATTACATGCTATTTATCAAATTGATTTTAAGCAAAAGTTTTGAACCCAAGAGGAAGCAATTAAGTCTGCAAGAGAAAGCAGAACTTAAAATGCAGTTGACAAACACATCTATTTAAATTTGATAATGAACCCGAAACCAGCACGTAATATATCATAACAGTTTGTACTGCGGTTGTTACATAGCACCTAAAAATTGATATAGGTATTTGCTTTAACATGTAGTACCTTTACTTTCAGAGGCCACTGAGAACTATCTTATACCAGCCAAGGTATGTCATTTCACACCTAATTTACTGAAAACCCTTGTGAAGAAATATTGACCCCCTACCTACACTTAAAAAGTTGTTGAGCTATATAATTAATCAGTCAAAAGTAGTTCTTTTGCAAGACTGTAGAACAAGTTTCTCCACACTCTGGGTGACTGCCAGTTATTGCTTACCGCAAATAGCTTTCCAATCAGATAACTTTAAAAGCGGCATTTTTCTATCGTTTCCTTAGTCCCTTGAAAAGTTTTTTTCCATGGTTAAATGTGATTCAGATGCAATTCTTTGTAAATATCTTTAACCAATTAGATGAGAAATTTATAATCTCTTAATGAAACTAAATTGCAGTCATTTTCAATTTCTGATTAATGCAATGAAACATTTGTAAATCACAAACAAGCATGTGGCCCCCATAAAATGTAATTGTTGATATTCGTATTCACAACTTTTCAGAAGTTTTCAGCCCATGTGGGGATAATAAACTCATAGAAGAAGAGAAAAAATTATACAAAAAAGGCAGTCATATCTATGTTACCCAACAAGGCAATAAATCCTTAACTCACATTAAATCTTAACAATGACAAATATACTACTACCCCCCAATAGCACTCTGTACATGTGCAATAATATTAATGCTTGATATCTAATGCATGATGTACCTATGAATTTATTTCTTAGTTTTTTTGTTTAAACATGGGAGAGTCAATGATTATCCAAGTGAAAGTAGTACCATTCTGAATATACTTCAAAAGTTAAAACTACAAGATTATTTCTAACTGTCAATATAATTTTTAAGCAACAATGTATAGCAAAATATTAGGTAAAGGTGCCTATTACTACTGTCACAAGAATAAACTTCATTAAGAGAGAAAAAAAAAAGAGTAATTAATATTTCATACATGTTATTGTTAATTACAGAAACCTCCCATAGTTTTCACAAATCAAGTTCCTAACTGTGTTGACAGTTCAATATTCCATGTGAAATGAAAGGTGCAGCTAGGGTTACTTTGACCCCCGTCTTATCTTGGTTGCTGTTCAGAAGTGCTGCCATCTACAGTGGGACTTTGGTCTCAGGCGCAGGGCCCGTGCCGTTAGACTCTTGCTGTTCAGTGGCTGTGTCAGTCAAGGCTTCGTCAAAATTGGTCTCTGATTTACTGCCGGTCACTTTGGCCTGAAAAATAGAACATCATATTGAAAAATGTTAATTTTTGACTAAAATAATTAGAATATGACACATATAGTGCCCGACTTTGTATTCTTAATCTTGTTTCATTAATGATTTTAAATGTTTTTTTTTAGTTGAACTATTAATAAAACATGACTCTAATAGTCTTACAACAGCCATGATACCACTGTAAGTAATTACCACTTTTCACAAAATATCTCTAACTCGATAAATGGTAAAACTTTAAAGCCAAAAAACATCAATTTAAATAAATGTAATACTGGGCCAACTTTGACAGGAAAAACATCATTTTTCATTTTTGCTTTAAGTAAAACCTAGTCTGCACAAGGGTCCTCATTTTCTTTTTCCTTGTTAACTCAAATTAATGTGACACCCTTTTGGAATTCTTTATCTCTTGCAAAAGAAAATACAAAGATAAAATGCAGCTGTAACCCATGACTGCTTTCACAGATTTTCATTATTTAGCCTGGCACATTCACTTAATATTTCTCCTAATTAACTATATTCATAATTAGCTTATTGAATAAGGCCGGGGGCAGAGCATTTGTAATCAGCTTTGAAGTAAAATATTCTGAAAATAATTCTTCAAAACAGGATCTTTTCTCCACAGTAAATTTCTATCTGATGAGTTCTGTAATTTTTTAATGTGGTTAATTATTTTATATTACTTGATAAATAAATTGTATATATACTACAACTATCTACAAGTACATTAATGCTTCAAGCACTTCACACAAAATAAATAAATAAATTATTAAAATAGCTAGCTGTTATAAGAAAAATGCACAACACAACCTGAATACATCATTTTGAAATGAAATTACACTCCCAACACTTCTTTTTACTTAATTCTATTTATGAATGTAGCATACAAACAAGAAATATCTCTATTAAAAGTGAATATAAATGGGAAAGTGTGTCAAAGAACTTTTAATTGTATGACTATCATCATTTTTTCTAACCATGCAATATTAAGGCTAAATACAGGTAAAATTAATAACTTATTTCCAATAAGTAACTTTGTTTGACCTATTAATTAAAACAAATGGCCACAAAATAACCAAAACTGATGAACAGTTATAATGCAGTCCAAGGTTGTCTTTGATCAAGAAAAAAATTTTATATGGCCAAAATCATTAAGCAGTTTGAATAATTCAATGAAAAACTTCTGTATTTGAAATACAAGTCTGGCCGTCAGACCCTGGACCTTGATCACAAGACTAAGACTGGGTTCCCATCATTAAATCGATCCATCTGGATCGGTCTAACTCCCTGGGGAGTCTCACTAAATTGCCATCAACTTATCCGTTTTAAATGTCTGTCACGCCTACCAAATCAGCTAGGATAAAGATAATTACCCCCTAACAGCTTTACTAGGCGTGACAGACATTTAAGCCAGTTAGGTTGATAGCAATTTAGTGAGACTCCCCAGGGAGATAGATCGATCCAAATATACGTGGGAATGGTCCCTAAGACCTTTGGTCACTTTGGTGGCCAGCTGAGAAGCAATGCATAAACACACCTTAAATTGATGAGAGCATATTTTATAAATAATATATTATCAATGCTAGGAAAATAAAAGCTATAGACTGCACACAAGTATAAAATCACGATCAACAGTAACAACCTTTTTTTACAATACCGCCATTTATGTTTTACTTTATAGGTTCGTACGTCACTTTCTCAGTCTATATATTAAAAAAAAGAATTTAAAATGCTAGAAATACAGTGATATCTCTCAAAATTTTGAACAATTAGTAAACATTTTTGTGAAATATTCTTTCCTTTCATGGCCGTATGGTGGAGATGAGAAAATTCCAAAAAGCATTTAGTGTTCAAGGTCACATCTTTGCATTTTACGTTTGAATTTCTTAATAATGAAAGCATTAATTAACAACAAAAGGTCAGAAAATTCAACACAGTAATCAAGTCTGCCTTTGCATTTGTTAAGTAACTAGACCTGATAAACCTAGAAATAATGAAACGTTCAAAATTAACTGTGATCACCTCTTTCAAGGATTAGCTTTAAGTTAACACTTGTCTAATGAGCGCATTGAAACTCAGATTAACCTTGATCTATACATATTTTATTTTACGTTCATTGATGAATTAGACGCTCATTACTAGAGTTATACAAGTTAATCAAACTGACAGCTTTGACTTGATGTCTGACAGGAAATAGTTAAATATTCGCTTAGTACTTCTCAATGTCAAATTTCTTATGTAAATGCAATGAAACAGCTATTGAAAAGTCACATAATAAAATTTAAATATTCAAATCAAAATTAATAAAGTTTTTGAATATAAACATTCGTTACAAAATCATTCAATCATACAGCTCCAAACAATTCAACTTATAAAAATATATTAGCCAGAAGTTATATTTTACTTTTCTACCAACACGCAGAACTTTTCACTTTTCAAACAGTAGAAATCATCCTAAATTACAAAACACAGAATGCACCAAGGCAATCAACTGTTTAACTCAACTCCATTGAAAGCTACACAAAATACAAACCATTTACAACATAAAGACATTCTAGTAAGTTTTCTATCATGATCTCTCTCACACGCACACACACACACACACATACAGGTACGCACACATACACACAAATTGCATATAATCTACTCTGGCTTTCCTGAGCTTCAGATTGAAGTAAGCCGACTTCTTCATTTTCAAACCTTCTTATGTACAGAATTATCAGACTCGACAACCAGAGGCTAATTTGATAGAAATTTACAGTCAATCACAAATGCACTTCCAGTCATCCACATTTCGTTCTTCTGTAGAAAACTTAAGACTACAAGACCTAACTTTTGTAATTGGGATGATAAACTTTAATTGAATAAAGCTTAATTAAGAAGCGACAAGCAGGCTCATGTAAAGGTGGCTGCCATTGCCTCTCAGGATACAGCATATAGCACAGCAGATGGTTTTTGTAATTTTTTTCAAGAATTTTAATCCAATTTTCAAGCATTTTTTAAATTCAATCAACCCTATGTCTGCCTCAAACAGTTAAATAAAATCTTATCTATTAGTCAAGGAAAATATTAGCCTAGGACAAAACAGATTCTTTATCATCTAATGGACTTCAGTTAATTATCTAAAACTAAAAACACTTGACAACATCAAAAAAGCAATTTTCACAAATTATACAATCAAAACAGATGACTACATAAGGAATAAAAATGGCATCACACAAATTAAGTAGCATAAGAAGAAAGAAAATTCGGTGTTTATTTCCAATCCTCCCTCCCCAGCAGACAAACGACATTGATTCACCGTTGAATCAACGTTAATTTTGTATTAATATATATCTGACTGAATTCTCAAGAATAATGTACTAACGAGAACTACATAACAGAATATTAATAATAATAATAGTAATAATAATAATAATAATAACAATAATAATAATAAAATTTAAATAAAAAATTTAGAATGCACAGCACATACAAAAATTGAACAAAACTGACGACGGCTACAAAAGGTATGGTAATAACTCGATCTTTTCAATGGGAGACATTGTGAATTTTACAAAAACTGTATTTTTAAGTCAAAATTTCTTAAAATTAGGACATTCCTTTTGAGTGGTACCAGCAAAATTAAAGACCTGGCTACTCTTCAGTTTTATTCGATGTGGTGAAAGCACCATAAATGCTATACAGAATTTTTGTGCTTAGAAAATTACATGTCTGAAAGTCTGATAATTTTTGCCAATTGAAAAGATCGAGTCCTTACCGTAACACCCACTCACCATGTGTTTGGACCAAAAAATTGATCCTAAAGATTGCGAGCGCTGGGCAGGAAATACAGCAATATTAATGGGCATGCTCGCCACAGTCACATGAATTTTTTATCAAGTGGACTTTAACTTTCACCATATACATATATAATGGCAAATGTCAAAAAAAAAATAAATAAATAAAAAAAAATCATCCTGACGTGGTGTATTTTACATGAATGCTGGATATGTCATGCCTAGGTCTTTTGTTCTTGACATTTGCCATTTTCGAAGTCAGATACACCATGAGTCAGCAAGAGCACATGGCATCCACACGTTTCATACATGTGTATGTCACATACACCCGAATCACTGCCTCGTGGAAGATCGACCACTTAACTCTTTTACAGTAATTACTTATAAGATTCAAACAAAATGAATTCCTATTTTTTCCTGAATAGCTCTTTTTTTTATAATACTCAAATCTGGTGACTTAATATTTCTGAAAAGTTAGTTGGTCTCTGGCCAAAAAGTGTGTGCATGTTCTTCTTTGCTAACAAAAAACAAGGAATCTTGAAGAGGTAAAATTTTGGAATGAGTGGCACATTTGAAATTAAAAGTAATTACCGTAATATAATACTGGTTTCCATTAACAGAAAACTTTATTTCAAAATAAAACAACTGTTGCACATGTTAGCAGTAACACATGGCACCAGACAAGTTAACTTAAGGGCTTATTTCATAAAAAGTCAAATGTTCTTGGGGAAAGCTTTTAGACAGCTATAAATAAACAATCGTTTAGGCAAAGTCAACTCTGTGATATTTGTTGTCTAAAGTATCTTTAAAATAATGATTGGCCCGCACCCATTAAATGTTTCTGAGATACCTGTACGGGCTACTGTAACTGTCACCAATGAGATAAAAACCTTGTGGAAATTCGCAACAGGTGGTTATTTCCATGACAAAAAAACTTTGTAGCAAAAAATTTGACTGAAAAACTGACTTCAAACTTTTTGTGAAAAAAGCCCCAGCTGGAATAAACAAGGTTTTCTAAACTTTTTCCAGGATGCAATCAATTGTCACATTCCATATTAAATGATGTTACCATACAACTAACCTTGACATTACTGTAAGCAGAGCCCACTTTCTCTTCTATTGATTTGAAGGTCTGGGAATTCCTGGAAAAAGATTGCCAACCACATTAAGGAAGGTTTTCTCCTCTCTCTCTCTCTCTCTCTCTCTCTCTCTCTCTCTCTCTCACACACACACACACGCACACACACACACACACACACACACACACACTAACAACAATAGTAAACTGATCACATACGAAAGTGAAATCTAAGTACTAAACAGAATATCTGAGAAAATCACCATCTTTTGCCAAACATCCACAACATAATAAGTTAAAATTTTGACACTATTACCAAGAAAGCTCCAAGGGGTCAGTTAAGGAAATTCGTACCTTAGGTCTGACAGTTTCTTTCCTGCAGCATTGGCAGCCTGACTGGCTTTGGTGCCGACATTCTTGAAAGCTTCATTCGTCTTCTGGTAGCTGGAAAGTTAACAAGAACAGAACGTGTAGTGATAATGATTTTTATATCCTTCATGCATTTCATGTTACTCACTAAATGTATTATCACCACCTGAAAATATTTTGACTGTTCCTGTGTATATTTTGTTAAACAAGCAGACAAAAAAATTCAATAGAGAATGTTTTTCATGTAATGTCATGTAAATATGTTGATGTTTCAAATTGCTGCATTTCTCAAGCTAGATTAAACACTAGACACAACAGACATATCAAAGAAAAACTCTGAATTTAAATAAGCACACATAAATATATAAAAAACTTTTCATACAAAAGGAGTTTAATGATACATTTTGTTTTTGCATACATAAGCACGATAATAAATTGCCACCAAATGTCCCTTGCAGGATGAAGAGTTACGTAAGTAGTAGGATAATAAATAATCTGACCATGAGATTAAGATCTTATGAATAACCTCAACCCTTGAAATATGTTAGTATGTGCTACAAAGATGGAGTGCTCTTATGCAAAACATTATGAAAGCGAAGATGCAATCTTATAAGGTCAGTATGTACAAACATGCACCAAGTATTGTTATTGTGATGGTATATAGCATTGGGTATTGGCAACAAATCAAGGGAAGAAAATATCACTAAAAGTTCTTTCCAAAGAGGGTTTTATCTGGAATAAGTTTGCAACCTTTGTCCACTTCAATTAAAATGTATAATTTTAAGACGCATCATTTAAGATAATTTATATAGTAACCACCATGTTTTGTTTCTCGAGTAATCAAATTATCATCAAATCATCAAAACTTTTGGACAATAATAAATACATGGGTTCTTCTGGACTGACAAACAGAATAAAAAGGCACCAAGTGACGAAAAAAATTCACCAAAAAATTCATTGGCCTGGCCACAGTTTTGCTGTAATTTGGCATCAGGCCAATATCAGAGGAGGATTTCATCACAATCATAAACAACCTCACTGGTGGTTCTTAGTTTAGCTCATTGTGGCAGCTGAGAGTGCACCGTCACAACTAACACAATCAGTTTTTCCCATCTACCGCAATAGGTGTGCAACATGAAAAGCTTAATTCGTCAGAAGGCCACTTATAACACATTGATCATTCCCCATGTGGCCACTTAGCACATATTAATAACTCTCCATATGGCCACTTAGCACATAAATAATTCTCCACATGGCACTTAAAACACATTTCATAGAGCAAAGTCACATTACCAGAGTGCGAGCAGTGCATTTTACAAGATACCAGACCCAAACCACAGCTAATTGACCTTTTCATCACTAGTCAATCATTTATAATCAAATTAGAATCATCTGAATAAGTCACAATTAATACCCCCCCCCCCCCCCCCTTTTGTACCTCATGTAGTAACAGTCTATATAAGACTGCTTAGGAGCAGTCACTACAGTTTTAATGTCTTATTGATAATTAAATTAGTTACCAGACCAAGGTCAACATTTCCGTCAAATTCCAGTGTTGAAATTATTAAAATTATCTACACCATAAATTTATATTAGTTTTATGCATGTCTGTGTGTGTATTAAGAAAATGCAAGACTATAACAGGAAACTGTAAAGAAGCATACATAAATACACACATCAGAACAGTGGGTGTGTCTTTAACTTTAAACTGAAACATTAAATAGCAGCACAAAAAAGTGCTATGCTATATGGATTATTATTATTACTATTTTTTTTGGGGGGGGGGGAGGGGGGATAACATCAATATTCTTTCCCACAAACTAGTGAACAAAAACCAAATTGTGCATGGCATATTGTATTTATACTGATCAGATGCTTAAGATCTTTGCAAAAATTTTATTCACTTTTTAAAAAATCAAATTGAACCTGATTTTAAAAGCAAAGCAAAACACATAGTGCATTTCTGCAACACAGTAGCAATTTTCAAACACTATGTTATTGCAAAATTTGAACAAATATTAATGGAAGCTGCTAAATGTTATGTTCAAGAAACTGTTAATATAAGATTTTCAAACAATTTTCATTATAAAACTGTCGAAAAAAATCAACAAAGGATTAATTGGCAGGCAAAGTACTCACGCTCCCGACGACGTGATCTTATCTTCCCATTGGTGCAATTTCTCATTTGTCTTTTTGTACCTGCGTAAAAAGAATAGGAGAGGGACCCCACACATTAATTTGCGTTTCATTAAAAATGCCCAAATTGGAAAATAAAAAGACAAAAACCACTCAATGCTCACTCTTTGTAACATTAGTGGCAGAGGCGGGACATGACACAGAATAATATGAAAACTGTGTCGCGTTAGTGAAAGTCTGGAGCATTTACCACCGATGTACATTGTGTGACATTGGTGGCAGAGGGTGGGATGAAGAGTTCACATGCAAAGCATCATGTGCCAATAATAAAAGAAATAGTGGTGACAGTGACTATGACCCCAATGTTAACTAAACCCCAATTGTTACAAAGGGGCTAAAGCATGCAAGTATAGCATATAAAATGAAACAATTTCCGTACTGAGAACAACAGAAAAGATAAGGGAAACTACAGGCTGCTACGAAAAAATTAAGACATAATCCACAGAGGCCTGACAGTGTGCAAGATATACACAGATCTGCATGCATAAACACTGATATTTAATACTAGTACTGTAACATATATTCTGACAGTTACTAGTAATTAGCTGATCCTAATATTCCACTTAAGCAATATTTCACGCCAGCTGAAACAACATGATTGCCCAAAAACCACCTGAAAACCTCATTTGGCTATACAACACTGATCTTAATTTTTGTAACATAAATTATTCTGAATAGATAGAGATAAGCAGAGACAAAAATAAATAAAAGAACAAAATTCGAAACAAAAATCAAGACAAGATTAGAGGCCAAAACTGTGTAAATCATGTACCCAATATTTCTCCACAAATTTAGGAGCTGGGACCCATTTCACAAAAAAAATTTAAGGCCCAAAGTACGACCTAAACTTTAAGTCCAGTTCTTTGGCCCTTCTCTGACCCTGTGTGAAGTCTTCAGCCCAATGAATCAGGGGGCTTTAAAGACTTCATTGAGAGTACTGTAATAAATTGTCTGAATCCAACTTACATAATCTTTTGGAATAAAAGGTGATAAATTCAACTGAAATCTGATGACTGAAAACTTAAAACAGACCCTACAACTGGCTGTGTGCAAATTTAAGGTGGTTTACTGAGAGTATTGATAATTTACATATTAATTTTTTGTTGCAATATAAGATGACAGCACAATTTTAGAACCATCTATTAAAACTGACTTAGTGCATTATTACCTACAGCACCACCTGATCACAATATGACAAATTTCTACACACTCAAACTTGGGTGTGGTCATAAAGCACTTTGTAAAGCATGAATAGTCTTCTATTCTCTCTTGAAAAATTTCAGGCCAAAAGTTAAGAATCAATGCCTTGGTATTTTCTGGTGCTCAAATTTTTATTTGTGTTGAAAGTCAATATTTTCTACAGATATTTTTGTATTCAAAACTATATATATATGCATTGGAAGTAGAAGACAGAAAGAGCTTTGACTGGGCAAAAATAAAACTTGGCAAAATGAGTTTTATTTAAAGCACTGAAAGATTCTTGCAGTTAGTTCATGTTTTAAAATCACAGGCCTAAAAGCAATGCATGGTGCTACCAATGTATCTTTGAATAAATATAATATTTAGTGTTTAGTGTGTGTGAGTAGCTATGCATTGAAGAAGAAAATCTAAAATCATTATTCTGGTTAATTCTTACGTGCTGTGAGCCAGATATATATTAAATACTACTAGGAGTAATGACTTCTTCCTGCACGTGCCCTATTTTAGACAGTCCCCTATCATGCATGCAAGGAGCATGCTCTAACATCAGCACGTTGTGCACGGAGTCTTCATGCACACATACGCGCATGCAGGAGTACTCACGTCTCAGAGTGGGTGATCTTGTCTTCGAGTTGGTGCACTTTCTCGGACGTCTTTTTGTACCTGTTTTATGGATCATCAGAGAAAGAAATTATTAGCGCCCGAGACCACAAGAAGTCACTCACTAATTGGTCTCATCATGGCTTTGGCGCCATCTCAGTGGCCACCTGAATCTCACCCCAGTCAGGTGCCCACCAGGTGGCTTCAAATCAAGACAGGACTGCACCCACACTTTTATGTTCATAAATGGCATCTCTTTTTTGTAAGAAAACCAGTTGAAGGAAAACAAGGGCCTTTCCCATACAGTTTCAATAATGCTCTATTCAATGAAGTGTGAGAGAAATATTATAGTCTTTTGATGATTCTATTTTTTTTTTTTTTTTTTTTTTGACATTCAAACCATATCTAATATTCAGTAATTCTGAACATTCTCCAGTAGTAAAGCAACCCTCATGACAGCATGCCTTCTCTCATGCACCAGACACATTTCTATCAAGCAGAATACAGCAAAGAAAGAATGAAGCCTTTTTTAAGAAGTAGAAACAAGACATAATTCACATTAAAACCAAATCAATTGTAATGATTAAGAACAACAAGCAATCAGCTGAGCTGATTTATCAGATAATTGACTTCACATAAAAAGCGAGCCAAGCTCAAAGAAAAAAAAAACACAGCCAGTGAATAAAAAAAAAATATATTCCTACAGATTCTTCTATTAATCTTCTCTATACATTTAAGCAACACTGTTCATTAAACCCATCAAAATCTGAAAGAACTTCACAATAAATTAAAAAAATACCTTCGATTTCAAAAATGCCTTATATTTCAATTCCTTTTTTTTTTTTTCCCAATCCAATGTTACTTTACAATGGCCACTTACGCGTCAGACTCCCGAATGCTGGTCAGCGTGCTGGAGACATCTTGTTTGAACTCCTGCAGCGTCGTGATTCCAAGTTTCTTCTTCAGCTCGTTAGCATGGCGGACCTTCGCACCGAGGACTGATCTCAATGTCTGAATCTCTTCCTCTGTCTAGAAAAAGATGAAAGAGATAATTTAAAATCCTTAACTTTAAGGAACATGGAATCATCATTCAAATACAAAAAGGTTTTAACATTATTTATTTTGATTTTGGAAATAAAAAAATGCACTATACCTGATCACCAAATCATGATTTAAACTAAGAAAAAAAATTTTTTTTCGAATACATGCAAAAATTAAAATGACAGTAAGAACTTTCAAGTCATTAAAAAATTGAATGACTAGAAAAAAGAAATTACAAGACACAAGAAAAAGCAACATTAATTCTCCCAAAGTTCTATCATATATACCTTAGCCAGCTCTACCCTCCATTCTTCCTTCTCTTTCTCTACTTCCGCAGGATCTTTAGTCGGCGATGTGTCTGCGATACCGCTATCTGGGGTGGCAAGCTCGGCAGTGTCGTAGAAGTGGTCGTCTGAAGGTAAAATTTTAATACCATATTTAGCATAATTTTATTGTTGCCATGGACACATGACAATAATTTACTGAGGTTTTTTTCATTAAAACAACTATTCACAGCTCAGACTAGTCACTTTCCTCTTACGATAATACAATTTTTCGATCAGCTGCAATGTTACTGATGAAACAGGATGTGATGTCAGAGGTCAGCACGGCTCAATGTTACAGCTAGGCATAAATAACATTATGAATATAATGGTGAACATTTCAGTGACTCTTTGATTACACTTCATTAAAACCTCCCAGTGCTTGAGCTATGATGATAATAATAATAATAGACATACTACCAAAAAATTAAAATAATAATTTTTAGGAAACTTGAATTTGCTTTCCTTCTCTGTCTCTACATGGAATCAAGCAAAAGATTTTTGAGATCAAAATGGAGTCTAGGGCCACCCACTGGAATCAAACATACAAGCAATCATCGCGAAAAGCTATAAAAATCTGATATCAAGTATTTGTTAACTATGGCAAGGTGGTCTTATACTATACTTCAACCTGAGCCTAATACCACACTGATAATTTCTAAAATCACCTCCACAATCTCCTGGAAATACTGACCTGAAAAAAGAAATCAATTTCCAGGAAGTGCTGACCTATATAAAATAAAGAAATCAATTATGTTCCCGTAGGCGAAACTATTTCCAGATTTGTCACTCAGAGTATTACAATGGCTCAAGTAGCCATGATAAAGTCATCAGCTGGAACAAAATCAATAACGTTATGTCATGCTGGTTCAGTCATCTCTCCCCAGAGACTCCAGACACTGAGCAGTATTCTCTAAATGGAAAAAAAATAGAATGTTATTTTTTAATATATATATATTTTTTTTGACTCAGCGCCATTGACCGGCTTCAAATTACCTCAGGACCTGTTGGGTTGGGTGGGGGTCAATTCCACGACTTATTTGACTAGGATTTCCATGTGAGTGCTGTTATACTGCTCCTGATAGGGTAAGATGTGACCACATGACCATGTAACCTTGTCTCATTTTAAGAAATTTATGATGACTTCAAAAATACAGCATCTGTAAAATTTACAATTTTTCCCCCATTAAGAAGTTTAAGTAATTGCCAAAGTTTGCTTCATTTCTCCATCATGGTAGTCCTATTACAGCATGCTTATATAAAACAAAACATATTTCACAAAAGTCGTGTATCTCTTATAATACTGTTATCACAGTATCACAGTGGGGCAGAAAACTTAGCGAGCCCCACCATTCGGTTTTACGATACGTTTTCTATGGGGGGAAATTATCCCATTATAATCTGCAGAGTTAAGCTATAAGCTTTGCGTAATCCAACATAATATCATGTAATTGGCAGCTTGCGAATCGCGATCCATTACGTAGGAAGTGACTCCATTGCCCCATTACTTTACCCATTATCAACCCTTACATCACAAAATAAACAAAAATTTGATATATGAATATAAAGTCTTAGCTAATGAGAAAAAAATAAATTTATCTCCATTTTGAAGGCATCACCTTGTGAAATTCCATAAACAAAAAAACAGCAACTAAGCTTATATTCCACAGGAAATGAAACCACAGGCCAAGTGAGATGAACTTTGAATCCAGACAGCGGTTAAGAGCCCTTTTCTACTTCCAATCCATCACTGTGAAAGAGGATGACGTGACCACAAAGTTTTTTTTTTTCTCCATCACACACTGTAGTGATGAGTGTCTCTTAAACAAACTGTAGAGATTAATTCATTAAGTAAAAGAGAAAATTAAAATTCAGGATGTAGAACCACTATTTTTTTTTTCACTCACAATGTTGGGCATGGAAAGCAAGGTCCAAGGATGAGACAGACAGACAGACAGAGAGAGAGAGAGAGAGAAAGAGAGAGAGAGGGGAAGACCCATATACACAAAAACCAAGAACAGATAAAGATAGTTTTTCCATCCTGAACATTGAAATTTCTTCCAGGTAATTAACAAGACTTATCAACCTCACCTATCTCAGCGTAACTCGTCCCTCCTGCTTCAACGCCAATGGGATGTCCAAGATCAACACTCTCCATTATGGACAGAATCCACGCAATTTCTCCCAGTTCACTGTTGATATTAGTCCCAGTAAAGAATCCAGAATTGAAAATTCTTTTTCAACTCTGTCAAAACTCACAGCAGATATTTGCACCAAAAAAAGGTTCAGAATGGAATATTCATTTTCAACCCCAAAAGCTTTCTAATTGTTAACCCAGAGCTCTCTTCACTGGCCCAGGGAATTAATACTTCACGGAATCTCCTCCAAGTTCACGACAGATATTCAAGCTCCAAAGAACAGTGCAGAATAAATTTGTTTTCAACCTTGAAGCTTTACAGTTTCCTCTCATATACTGTTGTCTGGGTAAGAGCAAAGTAATACCTTGGGTCAAAAAGCAAAAATTAATAATTAAGCTTTAAAAAATATTAGAATGACACCATGAATGCTCCAGTCACTATATGTCAGTATTATTTGACTATTCCAGATTAAAAAACCCTGCCTGGTACTAGAGATTTGATCCTACAGCTCAGCAAAATTACATCTGATGGTACGCAGAATACAGAGACCTCAACCTCCCAGAGACTTCACTTTTCACGGTATAATCCTACGAACGAACGCAACAAAACGCCTTTCAGGCAGATCACATCAGATCAAATCTCCACAATCAAACAGAAATTCCTTCAAGCAGAATCCCCTGGATAGAAAGATACAGAAAATCCCTCGAGCATAAAGGCTGATGTAGTCGGTCGTTTAAGCTGGACTTGATTCTGTCCGGCGGTCATCTATGTAATGACCTACCTAACTTCTTGGTAATAATGACCAAACACAGGTATTAAATCTCCCTCACAAAACAAAACCAAACCAAACACCCCAGCTTCTTAATCCATCTTTCTTGAAATTTACAACACACAAAACGCAAAGATATCTCTCCTTCTTCGTCCTGATCTGGCTAATGCAACAATACAGCTAAATGTCAAGTGAAACAGAAGACCACTGCTCTGCGCCAGGCTATCAGTCGGTTCTACTATCTAAATCCGATTACTGATTACTCCATCCGCTACACGGTCTGGAATATCCACTGCTTGTGAATAATAATGCTGTATTGCCATTACGCATACGTTACTCCCACTGGTTCAGATAGCATTTACTTTATGCACTGTCACGGCTCAAAAAAATATTAGCTTATTCAATTTTGGTTTTGCAGATTTTTTCTTAAAAATGAAGCATATAGGAAGCCTAAAGGGTACAATAGAATACCACCATTGAAAATGTTGTAATACAGCTTTCCTATGAAGAATTTACAGTACCTTCTTTACCCTTAAATTATTGACGTCCTGCTGCTCAATATTCTGCAGTATTCCTGACCCGTTTCAATCATATATCGCTGTCATTGGCCAAATGTGCACATATAACTATATGCCCATGAAAGTGGTTTTCATGAGCCATGTGCAGATTAATATTGTTTAATTTTACTTATTTTTTTATTTGGATAAATTTATAAATGTAATATTACAAACATGTATATGTGCGTAAGTAGATAAGCCTTAAAATGCTGCTGTGAACGCATTTAGAGCTCAAATAATATATATATATATATATATATATATATATATATATATATATATATATATATATATATATCTGTACTGTCACAATGTTGAAACAAGGCAGCAAAGCTGTCAAATGTACAGACAAAAAACAGAAAATAAAGATGCAAAAAAGGTCATTTTGTCAGGTAACATGGTCAATAACATGAGCGGACCCAGAGATATTCTCTGACAGTATTCCAAAGTATCTATTTTGATCCATCCTCCATTTTGATGGTCTTCCAACAGAAGAAAAAATAGATACCAGGCAATATAAACTTAATAACCTGACTGTCTTCCGGAAGTCCCAGAAGATGGTCTCAATCTACCCTTTCAATAAGATTACAGTTTCAGGACCATGAGAGTTCAAATTCACATGATGTAAGTCTCAATATTTGAAAAATGATGACAGTGCATAAAATAATATTACATAAGTAACATAATGTTTAAAGACATAAAAAACAATACAACTGCTTATGTGGAAATACAGAAATGTCAGAGTCTCAGGCGGATGAGAGTTTAAAGTCACAAATGCAAGTGTTTGAGAAAAAATTATAAAGGAAAACAA